CTTTCCCTCCCCAAACTATAGTTTATAAGAAGTTGCAGAACATGAGGAAGAGCACAGAAGTTTGCTAATGGTTCACACACAGTAGATAAGCATTGCTTTAGACCACCGAAACAGTAAAAAGCATGAACTCTGTGCATACTAATATTGGAGGAGTCACATTTTGAAAGAAGAGAAAGAAGAGGAAGGGTTTGGAAGGGAGAAGGAAGAGAAAAATTTCTGCAATGAAAGAAGGAGATCAGATAAATACATTTAGAAAGAAACAAAACCTGAATACCGAAAAAGGAAAGGAAAACAAAACAAACAATAAAGCAGGAACAGACAAGTCAAGCAATTTCTTATATACTTCTAGCATCTATAAAGAGACTAAAATGTGTATTGTTGACAATCTATCCTCATTAATTGATGCATCCTTTAAAACATTAAGGAGTATAGCTGAAAAGAATACTTGTCTCATAATATTCCTTCTTAGAATATAAGGAAATAGTTGATACCTGAACGAATTTCTCTGAGACCTTTTACCCAAATCCCATTCATCTTATAAAGCAGTAATACTCTAAAAGATGTCAATATAGTTTTTCTTTCAAACTTAGTTTCTTTCCAACCACTGTTCTATTCTTCAACTAAGGTACTTGCCATTTCCTCATCTTCAGCCAAGACCAAGTCATAATCACTTAATGCCACACAAAAAATAATTGCTGTAACACCCTCAAAACAATGAATCCACTTCTTCCGCTCTGATCTTTGGCCTCCAACATCAAACATTCTGCAAAACAAAAGTGCAAAGCAGGGGATGAACTTTGGAATTTCTAGCTTCCTGAATGTTAACCAATAAAATCTGAAATCAGCTCAGCCTGATGACAAAATGTTTAAAAAGTAGAAAAATCAGCAACATTTATTACTATTTAACCTCAGGTTTTGTTGTTTTTTTTTTAATTAATAAAACCTTAAAAGTGTTCCTACACAGCATTTTGTAAAATATGAGAAGTTAAACAAAATTGATTATTTAGAACACTATTTCTCATTAAGAAGTTAAATCTAATCAGTAAAATTTAATACAGTTAGCTTCGCTAAATGTAAACTAGATGAAAATATTATTCAACCATTATCCCAAATTAATAAAAACTCTAAAATAATAAAAAGTCTTGATCAACAATGTAAGATTCTATAAGAGTGGAATGGTGTCTGTTTTAATACTTGGAAATAATGCAATACTAAGGAACCTGGGTACAAATAACACTGACTTAATTACTGTTGTTTTAGTATTCTGAATATAAATACATAAAATTGAATTTCCAGTTTTTCAAATTTAATCTGGGATCTCTGAATTCTGCTGAGTTTCAGCTTCCCTCTCCTAAACCAAGGTGCAACTTTATCTGTTTTTCAAGACCATGTCCATGTTTAAATGCAATATTTTTTTTTAAAGAGGCACTAAAACGATTTTCAAAATTATCTTAAGACAAAACAATAAGAATGATCATAATAATAAGTTCCCTGGTAATAAACATACTTTTTGAAAATTAATTGGGGAAGCTAAGCTATAAAGATGAGTCTTGCTTCTTTTCAATCCTTGCCTTAGCAGAAATAGAGCAATAGGAAGACCACATTCCAGCATAGAATCAGCAAATTGGCACGATCTGAATGGATTTGCTTTTATTTGCTATCTAAATGGCCATTTACTAACTATTATGGGCTACAGTCACTCTGAAAGACACAGCTTGCATTAGATATCACTAGGAATTTCAAATATTTTGCAAGCCAGACTAACAGCATCCTGATATAACGAATAATGAACTGTGAATCACAGGCTGGGTAGGAAAGGACACAACACAGACAACACCAATCAGAAAAAAAAGCAGATTAACAATGGTACCCAGAAATTAAGTGACATATTCACTGTAGTATCTTCTCAAAGAGAAAGAACACAGACTTTTTCCACCTCTTTCCTATCACCAAAAAAGAAGTCTGTTGTTTCAAATACTTGTGATGACTTGCAGCTTCAAAACAATGCAAATTTGTCACATACTACTTCCCTCAGTGTGTTAGTTAATATTCTACCGCAGACTGGAAGTAGCTACTTGCATACCAACTCATGGAGAGTATAGAAGAATTTAAACCCATCTACAATAGGGAATTGAGCAAGAAACATTAGACAACAAGTGAGAAAGTAGCTCCTCAGAACACTGAAGACTTCTCTTGAGGCTTGGCTAAGACTACCCTCCTTAGGTTTGCAGGAGATTGATTCCCATTTGCCAGCTATTATTTTATGGATTAATATTATTTTTGAATAATTAAACCCTAAACCAAGGAAACAAAAAGTATTTCCACAGTAGGGAAGGTCCTGAAGCATCCATTTAAAGTACTTGCTGTGCATTTACATTAAAAATAAAAAATAAATTCCATGAAGATACTAAACAAATATTTGCTGAGATCAATCACTGCACAATGTAAATGCAGGTACAATGTGAGTTTTACTGACTTCTCATTCTTCCTGATCAGTAGGAGGTAGAATAGTACATTTATACTACTCTAGGCTTTCATCATGAGTGTCTTTGAACATAAAATGTTCAGAGTATTAACATTATTTTATAAATACCACACCACAGGAAACAAAAGTAACATCCTCTTATCACTAAATAAAGTACTACCTTAAAGTACAATACATATTTGAATTCAGTTCTTCAGAAAAATGGATTTACTCTTTCATTCAACACCAGCAAACATTTATAAGCCTCCTTCCCTCCAACTGAATTTAAAGGGAAGAATCTGATAGAACAGCTATTTAACATGGCAGAAAATGGCATTATTTTGAGATGTAGTTCACATACAAACATCTTTACAAAAAGCTTCCAATAAAACCAAAGCATTTGTTACTTAACATCAGCATATTTATTTTGACTTATCGCATGAGTTCCAGTGACGACCACATCCCTTTAAAAAATTGAGGCAAGCATGAGGATTTTTTTTCCCCTCAAAAAAGGGGAGGGGAGAGTAAGTCAAAGTTGTAGTTATACAAGTGCGTTAAATTAAATACTTCAAAGACCATTTTCTAGATCTTTACAGAAACTGTAACCAACAGATGAAGATGCAGAATTATATACATACTTAAAATGAAGATCTTTGAAAGTAAAGTGAGTTTCCACTATTCCTGTAGTTTTCACTCTAGTTCTGAGAACATCCTGTTGGGTTGGAATATAGCTGGTTTGTGCTATTCTGTCCAAGTCATTCAAATAACTGAAGGTAAAAATAAATACTGCTTTCAGTTATTCATAAAATAGTAACAAGATAAATACAAAGAATTACAGAAGTTCTAGGTCCATTCATTATAATGTGCTTGACTTTTATGAATAGCTTTCTCTAAGACAAGACACAGAATTTCCCTCAATTTTCCAAGTTATTTTGAAATAAGCTTTATAGACACAAAGATATTTCATCCCAGAAGAAAGGAAACTTGTACAATTCTTCTTCTGAAATCCCCAAATACAAATGTGGTTCCACGTTATCTGCACTAACTAAAACAGCAGCATCTTTGCAACCTACTGAACTACAAGTTACTTTGAACTGTAACCAAGGCTCCAAATTACTCTGGATTTCCTAATAGGTATGAAAAGAACAACCCAGTGTTTTGGCCCAAATTAATGTGTTTAAGAAAATGCCTAACAGGTAAAAAGTAACTTTCTACTGAGAATTTCCAATTGCACACATTTTTAACAGTAGTATACTTTAATTACCAAAATTCTAGTAATGCAGGCCAAGAAGCCATATGTTGCTAAAAACCACACAAATCTAAGTTGTGCTTTACCATAGTAAATACGGAAGGCATTATGTTCTTTCATTCTAACCAGAATTTGCCAACATTAAGCATAAATCATACTGGAAGTATCAGTGTTATTTCAATACAATTTGATCACATATATATATTCATTCAGCATGCCTATATATATACATTACTCCAAATATGCTCTTCTCAGTTACCTCAACTGCATGTTTGTTTATTGAGTTATTCTAAAGAACTGAAAGACTTTAAGTAAAAAAACACTTCAAACACTATAAATTAATTCTGAATGATAAAGCTTAAAAAAATTGCCCTGTAGGGCCAGTACCACAGCTATGCTATTGTTTACCATCTTACCTCTCCCTTGAGGGACTCTCTTCCTTGACTGACTTAGCATTACTTGCTGTCATCACATCTTATATCTCAAACCCTTGATTGCATACTATTTTATTTTTCTAATGAAGTACCCTAGCATAGAAGACACATTCTGGTTGTCACTATTGCTCAACCCATTTCTAACAGAGACAGTTAATAAACAAAGAAAATGCAGCAATGCTGAACCATAGAAGAAACTCTACAATGAGCATGAAAGCCGTACCATGATAATACAGACACACAAGTTTCCTGAATGTGTTCAGATAATGACCAGGTGCTTGAGACATGTTTTTGTAATAAAAATGCCATTAAAGCACCTTGAAGAAATTTTTGTCTTGCTCAAGATGATTAAAACACTGGTCAGAACATGACCCAAATTCAAAATTGTATCAGAGCTCTTTCTTTCCAACCTTTAAGTCTAGTTGGAGCATTTTGACCCAAGTAGACAATATATTTGTCTGGATACTTCTAAATTTTCCATCTATGTGGGACCAGAATTTCACAAAAGATGAGGCTTCCCTTTTTTATTTCTTTAGCTAGTATTTACAAGACAAAGAACATCTTGTCACATAGCACTTACTAGGCAGCAGAGTCGTTAAGCTGGTATTCTCTAGATCTGTTGAAACAAGCTTGAACTCCACTGTCTTTCCACAGTCTCTTGATGACTCCAGCCAGCTCTGCAGTCATAAATCCTTCTTCTGCTGCTCCAGCTAACACAAATAGTTGACGAGCGTCATCCTTTAGGATGTAAACAGAGTGGACAGACAAACATTGAGAAATACAACAGAAGTACTATCACCTAAGAACTATACTTAGCAAGTGAGTTTCTTAATGTAGTAAATATGAGTGTAACTATAGAAAAAAATGTGAAGAAAACAATTGGTTTTGATGGTCTGCATAGGATATTAATGCCTACATTTTTCAACAAGACTAGTAAAACAAATTTCTCATTAGCTGATAGTTTCTTCTGATCTGTTTATGTAATTTGAACTAATCTTTACAAATAGTAGCATATTTTGTGCTCAAGTAGAATGGTTATAATGCCTACCAGAACCTAGAACCTGCCTAGAAACGCAGATCTATGTTGAATGACTGAAGAAAACACGTTAATCACTTAACGTTAAAAAAACACCTTTGTTTGAAAGTGAGAAACTACCATTTCTTCCCAAATTTTTGCATCAGGAAATAGAAAAATACTTCTTAAATTATTTTAAGATAAATCAGTTGTTACCTTAATTATTCTACAGAGATGAAATATTCTTGGTAATGTGATATGAAGTAAACATCAAGATTTGTAAGACAGCAAATGCTGGATTTTAAGACTATATATATTGACTGCCTTTGAGAGTGAAACCACTGGAGTACAGGAGTACAATCCACCAGTCTCCTTCAACAGAAATTGACCAGTTGGCTACCTTCATCCAATTTTAACTGAGGAAAGAAACTTAAAAATGTTAGATCTGTAAGGCATTGGAAAAAGAAGGTAACAGCCAGGTAGGGGAAAGAGATCCTCATTAGTACTTTCCTGTGGGTAATCGCTTGACCTTAGTTATTAGTTGTATGTGATCTAACGCCGAGGTATGTCAGCCAGACAAATCAGCATACTTGTGGCTTGCAACTGCCCACAGTATGTAATGTTTGTCCAATAATTAGAAGAGAACAGATGATACTGGAAAGGAGAAAGGAGAAAAGAGACTTATGCACATCAGCTGGGAACTGAAAATATTTTAAGAAAGGATTTAAAAAAGCAACATATAAGGTTATTCTCACTAAACAGTAAGTGAAGATGCGGACGCAAATCAGTAGAAAAAACGGGTTCTAGTATCTTTGGTGTACAAATAAGCTGGGAAAAACACAAACAATTCTCAGGATAAGCAGAGAATGTAGTTTAAGTGTTCTAAAGATATTGTCCACTGTAGACTTAAATAATCAAATATTATGACAGGTAGCGGAGAAATTGTTTACAGATGGCTCGAGTAATACGGATATTTACAGCTTGAAAACAAAAAGCTTGCAGTCAGGTCAACCCAAGTCAAACTTGAAGAGATTTATGTATCTATGCATATATACACATGTAGATACACATACGAACAAGTATCTGATATGTAGTTCAAAGACTCTTTTAAAAGCTAGAGGAGTTTCAAATCTAAAAATTATCATCTGTAAAACAAATTAACAGAATACTGATTACTGTACATGCACAGGAGAAACTGTGGACAACTAATAAAAACTCAATGGATTGCACTAATAAATACCTAAAAAGAGAGAGTACTAAAGATCCAAGGGTCGGATAGTCAATCTCATGGACTGTAGTCTGAATAATATGCCTACATCAAAGAAACCTGAATGACAATTCTGATCTTGAATCTTGTTTGTGGATGCAAATGCCAAGGACCAACAACTCATAAAAGCAGTGGATGTTGAAGAGTAGCAAATATATTAAGACACATGCTGGAAACAGCTTAGAAACTGACAATCAATTTTGTGATGAATGATTACACCACTTTATACGTGATGTGGTCTGACTCCCAAAAATACAAAGTTTACTCTGTTTCAAATAGCTCTCATCTCTACATGCTTTAAAATGTGAGGGAGTGAAAAAGGAAGGTAGAACAAGAGAATCAATTTCAGATTTAAAAAACCCAAACATTAAAATAAAATGTGGTCTCTGATGCCCTTATACTCCCTTTTCCAAGTATAACAAGTATTACAGACATTACAAGTGAGGTAGGATGCAATGATAAAGTCCTGTTTTCATTATTAAACAATGCTAGGTACTTTCCTTTAATTATACTGGAACAGGACAGCTTCCTCTCCAGGTGTCACTATTTTTATACCAGATTTCATAAATGAAATAATGTAAAGAAACTAATTTAACCATCTGTCTGGCTAGTTATAGCAAATCTCACATTCAGAAAGTGGTCCATAGTTCACTATAAATCTTTCAAAATATAGTTTCTCTTTTAGTACTGAAACGTCCTGTAGGACAAAGGAAGATTGACCACGACTGAAGCTGCTGGTGTAATCTGTGCTCCTTTGCTTCAATTGCTTTAAAAAGGAAAATCTTCAACTGACTGCTTTACCATTAGCCTTAAGACATAAGTAAAAGTATATGATTTTCCAAACAAACTTAACCCATTTAGAGTAAACCCCTCAGAAATTAATCTCAGAAATTTAAGAAAGAGTCTGAATGTAACAGTTGTCATCAGTTACAATTTTGAGTTTTATTTTTTGCCAAAAAAATGGCAAGGAAATAGAATTTAAAAGGTTATACTGTAATACCTGAGGAGCAACCATGTATTTATTTTTTTAAAGTGAGAATGATGTATAACACAAGCTCTGAATTCCTTTTTCTATTTCTGACTTTACAATTGGCAAAAAACTAATACAGATTTTTCATAGTAGTGTTGCTCTGAAAAAAGAATTTGGACCACCAAGACATGCCTAAGTGCAAAAGGATGGTCAGCTATTTTAAGATTATCCCTAATAGAAGTTTGCGTCATCATTTTTCTTAAGTCATAAAAAATTCAGATGACTTCAAATTGATATAATATATAAAATGTCCTTCAAAATCACCTTCTTAGTAATTTTATTTGCTAACTCCTAAATTTACTCATCCTCCACTTTCTCTTACTATGCATTTAGTAACATGAGTCTACCATCCGGCTCTTTCCAGCATTAACTGCTAGACTTTTGAGAGCACTCCATTGCACACACACTGAACATGCAACAAGATACTGCTGCTACCCTGGAAAATGCTGGCCTTAAAGGGAAGACAACAGCAAACATGAGAATAAACAGGAATAACAAATGAAAATTAAACTTTTACTAGTTCTGTTTACTATTTGAGAGGTTTCAGGTAGAATTTATATATGTACATTAAAAAAATTACTATGAAAGAACAAAATGAAAACTAACTAATAATTAACAACTGCCAATTAGATTTAGGCTTCAGATACAACTTTACGACCCGCTTTAGGTAACCTTATGAATGTTTGCCTTCCTTGTGACAACCATACGTAACACATTTCACAAGGTCACTGAAGATATACTCCCTAATATTTGTAAATTCCTTTTTAAGCAATTAATAACACCTTGAAGACAAGACTTTGTCATGAATGAAGAATTTACATACTGTTTCTTATTTTTCATGACCCTCCTCCCAAACTATTAAACCTTAACATGACAGAAACAAACCAATTATGACAGAATATCTCTCTACCTTACATACTTATTTCAATACATGAATAGCAAAAAAAACCCCAAAAAAACTCATTTCCTTCAAGACCAGTCAGTGTGGCTAGCTCCTGGTTCAAAGACTGTACTAGTGAGCATTCCATATTCTGACATTGATTTCTATGGAAATAAAGGAACACATATCCAACTAAGTTTCAATGCTATTCAGACTAACAACTTTGGTGATCAATTTCAGCACTGCAGCAGAGAGTGGATTCCTGTAACCAGAGGATAAACAAAAACACTTAAGCTAGGCATTTGCCAGAATGATTCAGAGCCTTTAACTTCCTGACCAGACAGGGACGTAATTAGGGTCACCACAGGCAGGAGTGTAGTGTTAGGACTCAAGGAACAATAACCCAAAAGAATCAATTCTGCAGACTGGCTTCAATAGGTGGAATGGAAAATAGACCTATCAGAGGTTTGTATGCAGGACATTAGATGAAATGAAATGGGAAAGGTATAGAAAAGCTTAGAAAAAGGTCCCTCTTTCCTTGGGAAAAATCCTTAATCCATACAGTATCATTAAAAAATGGGATACCAACAGCAGGGCTACACCCACATCTCTGCTTCAGGTAAAATCAAGTCTTCCATGTTAGAAAAGAGTATGAAACAGGATCAAGTTCAGAGGCTGGAAATGGTTTAGGCATCATTGTGTCTAATCTTAGTTGAGAAGAACAGACAGTAGCTGGATGCCTACCTTTTAAGTTGTGATTTTTAAGGAACATGAAGAGGTCCAATTTAAATGACTTACAGAACCACCCACAAGTCTATACAAATAAAGAGACATGACTGCATAGTTGCATGTTTTTTAAAAACCTCAGTAAGACTCAGATGTTTAGTTCTCCAAATTTAGATGGAATTTGAAATTTTTTTTCTAAACCAATAGTTGTCATGAATCAAACTAGTGCTGATTGCTCTGTAAGTCACCCTGTCATGTAGAGACTAGTGGCTTTTAGTTTTCAGTCAAACTTTGTATCCTACATAGAAGTTTTTTGGATATCCAAAGAAATTTTTTTTTTCAGGAAACAGTAACGGTCACAAATTTAAAATTAATAGATATTTCAGCTGTATATCTGTATATGTACTTCAATACTCACAGCCCTGGTTGTATCACCAAAGTCTATCTTCAATCTCCCCATTGCTCTAATGATAGCAATAATGGACTGAATGGTGTTACTGTAGACAACAGCTTTGTACTGTTTACATTCTTCTTCGGAATAACCAGCTTCATGGATAATCCTATGGAAGGAAAAAAAAATAAATTCCCTATTCATATAAAAAATAATTCTCAATTTTAGTATTTCAACATACTTACTTCATTTGTTTGACAATTGTGCTTTTTCCCGATTCACCAGCTCCTAAAAAATAAGTGTGAAAATCCATTAGACTTTTATCAATCTTTGACTTCAAATACCTAATCAACGTAAAAATATTTAATAGTTAAAAGTATATTTGTTACAAACTAATTTGTAATATCAAAATGTAAATGTCTCAAGCTGGAAGATTCAAAATTGACACATTTTAAGAACAAAATCATTCAGCTCTAAGACGCCTCTGCTTCTGTTTTTACAGAAGTGAGCATAATCTTTATACAGTCTGCTGGTGTTTCTAATGCAAACATAGTATCAGTTGTTCAACTTCAAATGGGTGTGAAGCTCAATTCCTCTAACTGCCTTTTTAATCAACACCTAACTAAAACCCTCCTATATACATTCTTCACACTGTATTAATGGTCTTCAGTGTTCCAAATTAACATCCTCAAACTCTTAATGGTTCTAGTTCTTATAACCATCTTTTGACCCTTGCAAGAATACACCACCACAGTCCAACTACTTTTGTTGGAACAGATTGCTCAAGGCTTGCCAGACATGCTGATACCATTCTCCATACTTAAATTAGAGAAAAAAACAACCAACAACCAAATATGCTGCGTTAAAATACAAAGCTTACAAAACAATTAGTATGTCAGTCAGCGGATGGGAGAATACAAAAAAAAAAGCAGCAAAAAAAGCTGTCTCAACGACTGTAAGTTTACTTTATCTCCACTTTCTTTAGTGTGCTGCTTTCTCTGAAAAGTTTATGGAACTCATAAGCTGGGATCTAAACCCTTCGAACAGTAACAAACAGTCCGGCTCTGACTTGTGCTGAGTTCTCACTCTTGCGTTTCCTCTTTCTCAATATGGTTTTGCAGAAGTGAGTATAATCTTCACAGTCTGCATGTATTTCTAATGCAAATGGTTCAGAAGTTGTCTTAATCCAATACAACCAAATAAAACTCTTTACACGTCACTGTGACTCCAGAAAGCCACTGATAAAGACTGTATTTACTCCTCCTCAAAATAAGTCCACAAAGGGGAATCTGAGGCATTATGTGACAGTCAGCTTCACCCTGATCTTTGGACTAACTATACAGCTAACTGTAGAGTTATTTCCAGGAACATGAGCAAAAAGAAATGGACTGGGAATTGCCAACATGGATTTACAAAGTGCAAAGTCTGCCTAAAGTTGATGACTTTGCATGAGGAAAGAGCTAGTTTTGGGGATGAACACCACCAACAAATGTCATTTATTTTTACTCTAATAAGGGTTTGGATGCCACCTTCCATAGTATTTTTGTACCAAACCAGATAAATATCAATTTCAAGGTGTCTGAAAATTTTCCTAGACAGCAAGACTTTCATGTTTGTGCTCAACAGTTAAAATGTAACTGGAAGCCAGTTAGAAGAAACAAAATTCAGGAGATGATGCTGGGCTAATACAGTTTTAACACCTTCACCAATGACCTAACACCAGAGTGGAATGCACTCATTTCAATTCTGCAGGTGACATCAGCCTGGGAGGCCAGTGTTGGTCTATTCTGGTGCTATTCAGAGAGTCCTCAACAAGCTAGGGGACTGAGCTGACGGTAATCTCATGACAGTGAACAGAGAAAAATGTGAAGTCCTGCAAGTGGCACAGAATAAGCTCTAAAACATTCAGGACTAAACCTTGCAGAAAACAACAATGAGGATTAACAACCTGAAGAGTCAACAGCTGGCCCTTGTGGCAATGAAGGTCAACCACACATCAGGCTCCTGCACTGGGTCTGGCTGGGATGGAGTTAATTTTCCTCACAGCAGCCTATATGGTGCTGTGCTTTGGATTTCTGGCTAAACCAGTGTTGATAACAAAACAGTGTTTTTGTTACTGCTGAAAAATGTATCCACAGCATCATGGCTTTTTATCTTTCCACCCTGTGTCCACCCCTAGCAAGTACACTGTAAGTGGGCAAGAGGCTCAGAAGAGACACAGCTAGGACAAGTGACTCAAGTTGATCAAAAGCGTATGTCATACCATGTGATACTATGCTCAGGAGTAAAAGTTTGGGGAAAGAAGGAAGAAAGGTAGACATATACAGGTATGGTGTTTGTTTTGATTTTTGTCATAAACTTTGGAAGGGTTGTTATGGTGAAGGGTCTAGACCACACGTCTTAAGAGGAGCAGCTGAGGGAACTGGGGTTGATTAGCCTGGAGAAATGAGGTTGAGGGGAGAATTCACTGCTCTCTACAACTACCCAAAACGAGGTTAGGCAGGGGCTGGTCTCTTCTCCCAAGTAACAACTGATAGAACAAGAGGAAATGGGCTCAAATTGTGCCTGGGGAGCTTTAGGTTGGTTATTAGGAAAAATTTCTTCACCAAAAGGGTTATACGGCATTAGAACAGGCTGCCCTAAGAAGCTGTTGAGTTAAACAATTCAAGGGATGATAAAAGATTTTCTCCTCATCCCAAGGGAGAGAAGAGTGATCAAGCAGCTGTGTGGGTGTTCAGGGGTTGACTCAGTCCAACAGCTACTACTGCTGCACTGGCAAAAATGCAGTCAACAACTCAAAAAGAAGTTGTTATCCCCCAGCAGTCAGCATTCATAATGCTGTATCTGAGCACTGTCCCGGGGCTCAGCACCCAATAAATGAGATACTCATAAACTAGATAAAAAACAGTAGAAGATTACTTAGTTCATTAGGGGGCTAGTGTACATGGCATACATGGAAAAGTGACAAGGAACTGGACTTTTTAATCCTGGAAAAAACTAGCAAGGGCATGTGGGGTGGAGAAGGGGTGTGAGGCAGTGGTGTGTGACATGGGGGCGTGTCTAATTGCCATTTGCTCCATAAAACCCACTTAGGACTTACAGCTTAAGATGGAAGAAAACTTCTGAGAAGTGCACAACAGAAATATGTGAGGCAATGAAGAAGCTGCAGCACAGACAGCTTCAGAGACATAAGGGGGGTCAGGGGACCTATCCCCAGGGGAAAAGGTTAAACTACTGGAACCAGTTGCTTTAGAGATCTGCAAGATTCAACTGGACAACTGTAAGCAACTGTATCTGTTTTGAAGTAAGCCTGGCTTTGAGCCACAGGTTGAGCTAGATGACCTCTACAAGATTCTTCCAATTTAAAATATTATTTGGTGCCAGTGAAACAGAGTATTTCTATACTTGGACTAATGTATACTGATGCCTTTGGGATATACGCTCTTCTCAGTGATGTCCAGTGATATGACAAGGGGCAACAGATACAAGCTGGAGCACAGGAGGTTCCATGCAAACATGAGGAAAACTTTTTTCACTGTAAAGGTAAGAGAACATTGGAACAGGCTGCCCAGAAAGGTTGTGGAGTCTCCTTCTTTAGAGACATTCAAAACACACCTGGATACAGTCCTGTGTAACCTACTCTAGGAGATCCTGCTCTGGCAGGGAGGTTAGACTAGATGATCTTTGAGGTCCCTTCCAACCCCTAACCTTCTGTGATTCTGTGATTTCTCCAATTAAACCAAATCAGCTCCATGACATGCTCAAGCCAATTTAAGGCTGGCTGCCAAATGTTGTCCCACCACCTCCCCAGCACTGCTACTGCTGTGGCTAGACTTCCTTTCTGCCAACACACAGTAGAATGAGTGTTAGCACCAACAGGAGCTCATGTGCTGCAGAATTCGGTAGCTAAAGAATAGAGTAGGCCTGTCAACATCAATCTAAGATTGCTTAATGCCATCTTTAGCGAATGGCAAAGTAATTTTATTTTTTTTTTATAAACCTGCAAGTTTCTATATAAAGTAGCAACAGTTCTTAGACTGTCAGCTGCTATGGGAGTTCAATACCAGTATATTAATAAAAACAGAAAAACAGACACCTGTACAGAAGTAATTTGTTACTATGACACTTAAAGCATTTACAAACCAAACTGACACTTAATCTGTAAATACCTAATTATGTACATAAACACAAATTTATGACAAAAGTTTAAAGATTAGTTTTAGTAATGAAATTACTATAATTTGCTTTGGTTTAACATCTTTATTCAACCAATTTGAAGAAAGTATATGCTACTGGATTGACAGCAATTGTGAAGATAAGAAAGATTACAACAACATTTAATTTACATTACCTCTTGAAGTGCTCTCTCCATTTTAAAATGGACACATTTGACTAACCAAGAAGGTCAGTATCAGGGCTAGTTACAGTATCAAAATAATTATTTTGTAACACACTTACTACTCAGTTTTTCCTGAGACAGATATGCATGTCTCTCTATGGTGTTAGAATTCACAGGTACCAAACACCTAGAATTGTCATAAAAGCCTTCTCAGTAGCATAACCACAAACATGCATAACACATAGGAAAAAAGTAAGTCAATTATTACAGAGTATCTTAGATAGTTTCTGGAAGATGCATTCCCGTTTAATGAAAAATAGAAACCGTTTTGTTTGCTTGGGGCATTTTTTTAACTGCATGCCAAAACATCTGCAGCTTGCCTAATAATCCTTGTGAAGTATGTAAGAAAATTACATCCTACTTCCCCATACTTAAAGGAGATTCACTGGTTTTGCACTCCTGAATAGAGTTCAGCCAGGTTTTCCGATAGATGCATTTGTAAAATGTCCTCCTTTATCTCAGTGTGACAAAATTGTCTGTACAGCAAAATCAGAATTAACTCTTGTTTAGTGACTTTTAGACAGGAGCAAGTTGTATTAAGTATTTCATGTGACAGCTGCATATAAAATGTCAGAGCTAGCTGTACAGTTAAAACCAAACCCTACACAAATTTAGACAGACTTGATTGTATGTTTCCCAATCTAGTAAAGGATGCTATTTATTGCCAACTTCTCTAGTGTGATATTTGATTTCTGCTTCACTACTGCCAATAATTTGAACAGTCTTACTGACTCAGTTACTATTTGTACTTAATCAGCACATTTTAACACAGAAAACAGCAGAGCCATATTTTTCTCCACAGACTCTGCTACATAATCTGGAGTGTTTTCTGCTTTAATGTTTAGTAATCAGGCTCTACATTCACATGACATTACTTCCACAGCTAGTG